TTCAACCCTTCTCTTTTTGCTCTGCCATGTTGTGATCAATATTTACACCCTGACTTTCAACCCTTCTCTTTTTGTTCTGCCATGTTGTGATCAATATTTACACCCTGACTTTCAACCCTTCTCTTTTTGTTCTGCCATGTTGTGATCAATATTTACACCCTGACTTTCAACCCTTCTCTTTTTGCTCTGCCACGTTGTGATCAATATTTACACCCTGACTTTCAACCCTTCTCTTTTTGCTCTGCCAAGTTGTGATCAATATTTACACCCTGACTTTCAACCCTTCTCTTTTTGCTTTGCCATGTTGTGATCAATATTTACACCCTGACTTTCAACCCTTCTCTTTTTGTTCTGCCATATTGTGATCAATATTTACACCCTAACTTTCAACCCTTCTCTTTTTGTTCTGCCATGTTGTGATCAATATTTACACCCTAACTTTCAACCCTTCTCTTTTTGTTCTGCCATGTTGTGATCAATATTTACACCCTAACTTTCAACCCTTCTCTTTTTGTTCTGCCATGTTGTGATCAATATTTACACCCTGACTTTCAACCCTTCTCTTTTTGTTCTGCCATGTTGTGATCAATATTTACACCCTGACTTTCAACCCTTCTCTTTTTGTTCTGCCATGTTGTGATCAATATTTACACCCTGACTTTCAACCCTTCTCTTTTTGTTCTGCCATATTGTGATCAATATTTACACCCTGACTTTCAACTCTTCTCTTTTTGTTCTGCCATGTTGTGATCAATATTTACACCCTGACTTTCAACTCTTCTCTTTTTGTTCTGCCATGTTGTGATCAATATTTACACCCTGACTTTCAACCCTTCTCTTTTTGCTCTGCCATGTTGTGATCAATATTTACACCCTGACTTTCAAGCCTTCTCTTTTTGCTCTGCCATGTTGTTATCAATATTTACACCCTGACTTTCAACCCTTCTCTTTTTGTTCTGCCATGTTGTGATCAATATTTACACCCTGACTTTCAACCCTTCTCTTTTTGTTCTGCCATATTGTGATCAATATTTACACCCTGACTTTTAACCCTTCTCTTTTTGTTCTGCCATGTTGTGATCAATATTTACACCCTGACTTTCAACCCTTCTCTTTTTGTTCTGCCATGTTGTGATCAATATTTACACCCTGACTTTCAACCCTTCTCTTTTTGTTCTGCCATGTTGTGATCAATATTTACACCCTGACTTTCAACCCTTCTCTTTTTGTTCTGCCATATTGTGATCAATATTTACACCCTGACTTTCAACTCTTCTCTTTTTGTTCTGCCATGTTGTGATCAATATTTACACCCTGACTTTCAACTCTTCTCTTTTTGTTCTGCCATGTTGTGATCAATATTTACACCCTGACTTTCAACCCTTCTCTTTTTGCTCTGCCATGTTGTGATCAATATTTACACCCTCACTTTCAACCCTTCTCTTTTTGCTCTGCCATGTTGTTATCAATATTTACACCCTGACTTTCAACCCTTCTCTTTTTGTTCTGCCATGTTGTGATCAATATTTACACCCTGACTTTCAACCCTTCTCTTTTTGTTCTGCCATGTTGTGATCAATATTTACACCCTGACTTTCAACCCTTCTCTTTTTGTTCTGCCATATTGTGATCAATATTTACACCCTGACTTTTAACCCTTCTCTTTTTGTTCTGCCATGTTGTGATCAATATTTACACCCTGACTTTCAACCCTTCTCTTTTTGCTCTGCCATGTTGTGATCAATATTTACACCCTCACTTTCAACCCTTCTCTTTTTGCTCTGCCATGTTGTGATCAATATTTACACCCTAACTTTCAACCCTTCTCTTTTTGCTCTGCTATGTTGTGATCAATATTTACACCCTAACTTTCAACCCTTCTCTTTTTGCTCTGCCATGTTGTGATCAATATTTACACCCTGACTTTCAACTCTTCTCTTTTTGCTCTGCCATGTTGTGATCAATATTTACACCCTAACTTTCAACCCTTCTCTTTTTGCTCTGCTCTGCCATGTTGTGATCAATATTTACACCCTAACTTTCAACCCTTCTCTTTTTGCTCTGCCATGTTGTGATCAATATTTACACCCTGACTTTCAAGCCTTCTCTTTTTGCTCTGCCATGTTGTGATCAATATTTACACCCTGACTTTCAACCCTTCTCTTTTTGCTTTGTTCTAAACTTCTAGAGCTGTTGTTGTGGTTTATCTCAGTCTTTTATGTCCTCCCTGTATAACACGAAATGCAGCCTCTAACAATTAGTTTCTAATCGTGCTGAAAAGTTAGATCCAATTTGAATTCATTTCGAATTGTTTTGAGTAGTTAGATGGATTTGTAAAAATTAAATTAAATATCCCATTGTTCAATTTGTGTGATCGCATTAGATCAATTTGAGGAGAGTTTGGGCTAGAGATCTGGCAAACTATGCTCATGCTTATTATAATTTGCGGATGTTTATCATTTATAACGTAGTCAGCTTAAATTGAAAAGCCTGGTTTTTCATATGTGGGTAGTGCAATACATTTTGAATTAAGAGTATTACTATAAGAATATAATGCTTTTGGACACGAAGGGAAACACACAATGTAAGGCTTGAAATCTTCGTAAAACTACATCATTAGAGCCTCAATTTATTTGTTATATTGTAGTGTTGAAAGTATTAAAACTAACTATAAGACACTACCTGAAAGGTTTTCTGAATAGGTAATCTAGCACAAAGGATAGATAAGAGAAGAGGAGAGCACCCATAGTTATAGATCTGGAGAAGAGGAATGGGAAGTTATAAGGAGGAACTGAGGTTAACCCGACAGAGGGTGGCAGACATCACAGGTTAGCTTATTTACTGTTTACAGGCTATGGTGGGTGTATGGCTGTCTTGAGACTCACTATTGCGGATCAAATGCAGTTATAGATTTCTTCACCTCACACGACAAGAACAATGTACATTTTCTGCTGATTTTCTTTAATCCTGATAACAACTTTTTTTTTAACCAGGGACCTCTTGCTGGATAAGTTATAAACTTTAAGTTAATGCAATTGCAAGGTATTGCATATTAATCAAAGACTATCTCAGAAAGACTATACAACAAACACACTGTGGCAAGCAGCCAGCACTTGAGAATTGGGGATAAAGAAAATCGAAAGACCCGACCTAAAACTGCAAACTCTGGTGCCAGGTTGACCATTTCAGCACAACTTCATTTGTTAACTGACCAGTAAAATTTATTTTTTTATTTGAAGGATATTTAACTTAAGATTAATCTTCCTATTTCCCAAGGAAAGGTTTATTTTAAAATAAAAGGAAGGATTTATTTAGTAGAGATATACTTCAAGTAACAATAAGATCACTGTAAAGAGGCTTTCAGAATTGCAGTCTCCAATTAGATATAAAAGTGTAGACTGTATAGTTGAGCAGACGACTCCATTTACGCAGATCGGGAGGTTGATTTTAACCATAATAGTGCCCAACAACAATACATTTTCTTTCTGAGCAGTGCATATGGGAGTATGGGTCACGTGGCTCATGTTCATTCAGAACTTTTGAACATTAAGCCACTATCGTCGAAAACGCTATTTTATAAATTTACCAATATCCTCAATCTTGGTGTCTGTATAGTTGAACAGACTACCCAGATTGGGAGATTGAAGAGAATTTATTGTTTTATTGGAAGGATATTTAACTTAAGATTAATCTTCGTATTTCCCAAGGAATTTCTTAAAAGGAGGGATTATTTTAAAACAAAAGGAAGTTTATTTAGTAGAGATCTCCTTCGGTAGATCAAACTTTATAGTTGAACAAACTACCCTCAGTTACGAAGATTGGGAGATTGAAGAAGTGGTGCAGCGACTCTCCAAGTGTAAGAAAGAAGTGACAGACTCTCGCAGAGTCGGCTCCAACAACAAAGGTGGTATAGTGAACACGTACGCTTGGAGAGGTTGGAACTCAGAGCTTCCCCACATTTACTGGAGATACAACTACCCTAGGAACTACCTCAGATCGGGATCTGCTTAGAGTAGCTAGGGTTCCAGTGGTCATTACGTGATTACCAAATATGGGCATCAGATCACGTGATTACCAAATATGGGCATCAGATCACGTGACCAATTCAGTGGTCCTATACAATTGACTTAGAAATCGCTTTACATTTGCTACAAGTACATGTACAGACATGAAGAAAACAGATGAATTCCTCAAACAAATAACGATTTATTAAAATTGAGTCATTTCAGACGTGTAATAAATAAACCAAACGGAAATGGGCTGATGATTAACAAGAATAGTTTGATTACAACTTGTCTAGTATTTTATTGGGTTTGTTAGAACTGGAGCTATGGCAGCCCCGCCTGCCAACTATGTATGGCAGCCTGCCAGATATGTGGCAGTCCCTCCTGCCAAGTGTTGAAGATCGCAGTTCTATCTATCATACGATATTAATTGTTCAGATTATATTTATATCAATTTACCCTTGGCTGTAAGTCAAAGTGTAACAATACATTTATTATACTGTCAGCCTGACTTATTTTAGTTTTAAATTATTGTGTCTCGTTTAATTTGAATTATTGATTCCTATAATTAAATATAAATACACTTTCCTCACAATAGTAAACAAGGTGCACCTACTTAGATCACGTGAATACCAAATATGGGCATCAGATCACGTGTATACAAATAAAACCCTGACTTTGAAGATTTGTATAGATTAGGATCTATAGTATTATTATTATTATAAGTAGTATAATGTTAGACTAATATTGTTTTGTAAAATTATCTCACTTACTGTCAGTTTGCGATTTTATCATAAAAACCTTTCAAATCTCAATATATCCACGTTAACAACCTCACCTCGAAAACATCACGTGATTACCAAATATGGGTATCACGTGACCAATTCAAATTAACAACCTCATCTTGAAAATATCAACACTGGACAACTCGTAGCCTCAGGCTAGCAACATTTTAAAAATCTCACTTTAACTTTAATAACATTATCAACACAAAAACTTGATTTTCAAATACTTGGCAGGCTGATAAAATACATAATCTCTACATAATTGTTTAAATATCATCATCAAAATTCACGTCCAGTCCATAAATTATAGAGCCCTGAAAGAGACTAAAAATTCTATTACAAAATAAATCGAGAAAAGTTAACGCTTCAATCTAAGAAATATTATCGTACAAAAGAAAATATATATAACGTTACTATATTGTTTGCTGGTTACCTTGGTAACACAAGTTACCCAGGTAACGCTAGATTGGCTCTCCAACTCTTTGCTTCCTGTATTCTAATTTTAACTAACTGAGTTATAAAAATAAATTTTTCAATCCATCAATAATAAGCAAAGAATTGGAGCGGCACAATTTTATCACTCATATCATACAGATTTCTACAGATCATGGGTCGAGCTGGAGATATTGCTGTTTTACGAATTCTTACACTTTACCACGTGACATTACCACGTGACATTACCACGTGACTTAACCACGTGACATTACCACGTGACATTACCACGTGACATTACCACGTGACGTGAGCGTGGGCTGTAGAGCTGGCGTGGTGGTATGAGAGTGCAGCTAGTAGTTACCACTTCACTAATTCACTAGTTCGTATAAACTCAAATCAACAATATAAACCGAGTTGCGTACGCCATGTAGACGATATAACATTATAGGTAGACACAACACGTGTGCATCACCATGGTGACACCATGTAGACACTACACAGGTAACCATGGCAACAACAACACCATGTGGTGGCACACATAGTTGGAGCGAGAAAGAGTCACAGAAGAGTTTTGTAAAACTGTCTAAGCTGGGTGTTAGTTTTGCGAGTAGGCAGAAGATTAGGAGCGGGGACTAGGCCCGCAAGAAGGGCTGCAGGGTTGCTAGGCCCCGTAACCAGGGTGGGGTTGCTAGGCAGGACGGATGTGGCGGGGAGCACGTGCTGCAGACTGGTGGTTACCTCTGTTCCACCCGGCACTACCAGGCTGGTTCCGTCATTGACTTTCGTTGGGGTATGTGGCATAGTGGGTAGCGTGACCGGGGAACTGATTTGCGGCCGTAGCTACCTGAACACGCGTTAGTAGGCGAGAACAATTTTATAATGTTAAAAACACAGGAAATAAAATCTGAATTAATTTGGGTCAGAGACCACAGATAATAGTGATATTTATATTTATTGTAGGTACAAATTTTATTAAATAGAAATGGGTACTTTATATAACGTTAAGCAATATAAAAGGCTTGTTTCACATTACCTGCATGAAACCGGAGTTCTGAAGCTGTTGCTGCTGGGCGAGGAAAGCAGCAGTCACATTGGAGCTCTGGTTGCCAATACCAGCGGCTAGTTGGGCGGCGCTGGTGGCGCTGGTCGTGTAATCAGGGCTGGTCGGTGCTTGGTACTGCACGTGCGCCGCTGCAGCCGCCGCGTAGTACGGGTTCGTCTCAAAGAAGGTCTGAGCTGCCGCCGGCTGGCCCTGTGGTGGTAGCTTAATAAGTTATGGTTGTAATTTGTAAGTTATTGTCCAATTAAAGCTGCCCCATTTATCGAGACAATTCCAGCCATTCTGCCTTTAGATGTTCAATACCAGAGTCATGAAATGAATGGGCTGTAAAAGTAAGCAGCATATATTCCCAAACCAGGAAATAGAAATTCAGCATTCTTATAATGTCAAACCGATGTAAATATAGGCATCACGTGACCAATACAAATGTTAATGTACCTGAGAAGCGGGGCTAGTGAGGGACAGGAGGGCATGTTGGTGGGCAGCCAGTGCTTGACAGTAGTTCTGATAAGCTGCTAGATACTGCGGAGTTAACCTGGGAGAAGGTAATGTTAAAACCTGCTCTAAACTAATTGGGTACCCTCTAATTGGGTAACCTCTAATTGGGTATCCTCTAATTGGGTACCCTCTTTATTAACTCATGCCTTCTCACTTTTATAGTTATACCACGCAGTGCTATTACTGCACATATAATGTGTTGGTATCGAGGTGCACATATAATGTGTTCTTATCAAGGTGAGCCCTTAAATATTCTAAAGATAATGTTCAACTCCGATAACTACGATGGACTATCCAATACCTCCTACCTCCTTGATACTTTGATAACGCTCGGTTTGTCAGGTTACTATGCCAAGTAACTAGGCTTGTCAGGTTACTATGCCAAGTAACTAGGCTTGCCAGGTCAATATGCCAAGTAACTAGGCTTGTCAGGTCACTATGCCAAGTAACTAGGCTTGTCAGGTTACTATGCCAAGTAACTAGGCTTGTCAGGTTACTATGCCAAGTAACTAGGCTTGTCAGGTTACTATGCCAAGTAACTAGGCTTGTCAGGTTACTATGCCAAGTAACTATGCTTGTCAGGTTACTATGCCAAGTAACTAGGCTTGTCAGGTTACTATGCCAAGTAACTAGGCTTGTCAGGTTACTATGCCAAATAACTAGGCTTGTCAGGTTACTATGCCAAGTAACTAGGCTTGTCAGGTTACTATGACAAATAAGTATGCTAGTTTACTTACTAATAAGGTGGGTAAAAACACACAAAGACAATGTAACGCAATAAAAACTCAATGGTTTAAAGTTTAAACTAGAATTTTAAATAATTGGCAGTAGAGTTATAGTGATCAGTATTATAAGTGCTGCACTCAGCACTGCATATGACTACCCAGGTAGCACGGGTTGCCCAGGTAACCCTGGTAACACGGGTTGCCCAGGTAACCCTGGTAACACGGGTTGCCCAGGTAACCCTGGTAACACGGGTTGCCCAGGTAACCCAGGTAACACCGCGGTTGCCCAGGTAACCCTGGTAACACCGCGGTTGCCCAGGTAACCCAGGTAACACCGCGGTTGCCCAGGTAACCCAGGTAACACCGCGGTTGCCCAGGTAACCCAGGTAACACGGGTTGCCCAGGTAACCCTGGTAACGCCTCGGTTGCCAAGGTAACCCTGGTAACACCGCGGTTGCCAAGGTAACCCTGGTAACACCGCGGTTGCTAAGGTAACCCTGGTAACGCCGCGGTTGCCAAGGTAACCCAGGTAACACGGGTTGCCCAGGTAACCCAGGTAACACGGGTTGCCCAGGTAACCCAGGTAACACCGCGGTTGCCCAGGTAACCCAGGTAACACGGGTTGCCCAGGTAACCCTGGTAACGCCTCGGTTGCCAAGGTAACCCTGGTAACACCGCGGTTGCCAAGGTAACCCTGGTAACACCGCGGTTGCCAAGGTAACCCTGGTAACACCGCGGTTGCTAAGGTAACCCTGGTAACGCCGCGGTTGCCAAGGTAAATCCCGCTTTCACGTAACGCTGGTTAGCAGCTATAACTCCAAGAAAATTTTATTTAATGAAGTCAAATGAAAACGGAACCAGCAAAATGTCATCTGTGAATACTGTAGAAATTACTCAGTAATGTAAGAGCTGTACTTTCAAGGTGGTCATTCTATAAAAATGGGGAAAACTTTGCCAACGCGAAAGCTTAAAACAGACAGAAAATCGGATTCAACCAAGCAATATCTATGATATTGGGGCACCAAGTTTTATTGAGGAAAACCGTACAAAACTTCAACAAAAGCCTAAAACGGGCCAACTCCTCATTTTCAATCCAAAAGGAAAAGTATTTGGTCTAAAACCCCAAATCATAAAATACAAATCCACAAGCTCACTCAATCTTACCAATACTACTGACAATATTAGTCAGTACCTGAAAGTAGACTATTCACTAGACGTTAAACCTTTAAATTGTCACGTGTACAATCACGTGCATTTTGTTAGATCTGAGTAGTGGTGAGGAGGTGAAAATACACGTGACAGAGATTAACCAATCAGCTTCCAATCAAATGCATAATCACTGTCACGTGTCAAATTACAAATATAATTCACTTCTCCACCAGTATCCAGATCTTTAAGTAGAGTGTTCACAGAATTTACATAAATAGGGCCAATTCGTTCAAATCAGGGACAAAAGGATTTCGCGGTTATTTTGGCCAAAAATCGCGGCACCGCGACAAGCCAAACTAGGCTAATTCGCGGCTAATTCGCGGCGGGAATTTCGAAAATCGCGGCATATTCGCGGCAAAAAATAATGTATTTACAGTGCTTAGTTAGAGGTCACATATTCTTTGACTATTCTATTTGATCGGCCTATGTCCCATGAGGATGTGATCTCATCATATTATCTGATACAGGCTGATGGGGGTCCATAACAACAAGAGCTGCCATAACTTTTGACATGATCTCAAATGTTGCAATGTCATACGTACTGTATGACATATCTCGTTATCGATACTATATATAACTTTCAACAGACGACAGGAGACATCATCATTCGACCATCTACACTTCACAACTATAGCAATGGAATACTACGAACTTTTCAATCCAATTCCCATATCTCTACCTAGTCTATCCCCATCTAGTATCCAACCTTTACCCCTTGAAGCTTACATCAACCTGGACGACATCCTTACCCCGGCCCCCTGCACGAACCTTCTAGAAGTTCTAACCACATCCCGAGGGAAGCCCATGATTGTTCCTTATGTGGTCTACGACGAGATTACATGCTCTACAAAATAGCTTCCCATTGTCAGCATAAAACGATGATTCGCCAAATTCAGCCACTCTCGTGGAAGCTGTTACATTGCCCTGTTTAGCCTGTTTCGAGCGTTTGCTAGACGAAGGTCCAGCCGGTTTGTCGGCAGGCCGTTTGACAAAGCGGTCCATTATAACAAGCGAATACAATACCAAGCGAATAACGATGACGTTATCGATTACGAAATATCTGACAAGTGACGATTCAATAACAACACTGATTTAACATACTGTTCGATTTCTTAATCCATTGTATGTCTTCTGGTCAACTTTATGTCGTTTGGTCAAGTTTTTTATGTCTACTGGTCAACTTTATGTCGTCTGGTCAACTTTATGTCGTTTGGTCAAGTTTTATATAGTTATATGTCGTCTGGTCAACTTTATGTCGTTTGGTCAAGTTTTATATGTCGTTTGGTCAACTTTATGTCGTCTGGTCAAGTTTTATATGTCTACTGGTCAACTTTATGTCGTCTGGTCAAGTTTTATATGTCTACTGGTCAACTTACATATACGATCTCGGAAGGCAGACCTCCCCTTCGCAATACAAGCTCGGAAGCGGGAGCTCCGCCTTCAGAGGTACGTATCAAGAATGACTCGGACCGAAAATTTTCTAAGTCAAAATTTTTCAAAGTTTTTCTGGAAACTACTTTTGTTCATGTTTCATACTACCCTGATCATTATGAGCCGAAAATATTTTTTTCGGTGTTCAAAGTTCACACATACCCTTCGATACACGATTTTGGACTCGAGGGCTCCCCTTGTAATGCGATCTCGGAAGGCAGGCCTCCCCTTCGTAATACGAGCTCGGAAGCTCCGGAAGCTCGGAAGCTCCGCCTTCAGAGGTACGTATCGAGAATATACCTACAATCGGAACTCACGGAAGGCTGTAAATGTGATTAGTTGCATATACTTAATACTTGTGGAAAACGTGACATTTGGCCCGCAGATTTTATGGAAAATACGCAAACTTGGTCCTCAGATTTAGAGGAAAATGCGCAAATTTGATCTTCAGATTTAAAGGAAAATGCGCGAATTTCGCGGAGGACTGAAAAAATCGCGATTTGTCGCGGAGAATGGGAAATTTCGCGATCTGTCGCGGAAAACGTAAAAAATCGCGATTTGTCGCGGAGAATGGGAAATTTCGCGGTTTCGTACATGCCGCGAAATCCTTTTGTCCCTGGTTCAAATTCGTTGAATAAAAGGTCATTTCATTGTAAAAGATCGTTTGTTCGGACCAATGACCATGTATAATGTATATTGTATAATATATAATGTATAATGTATAATGTATAATGTATGGGCATTTTACACAATCATTGCAATCAAAGCTTGACGCTGTAAATTTTAGTTTAAAAACTTAATATTACATTTAAACTTTGGATTAATGTACATAAAAGTTATAACACGTGTACATGATAAAGGTGTCAAAAATGTTTGAGCACCTAACTTCCATCGTCACTTTTTACTTCTTTAAACATAAAATACAGATATTACTACTTAGGTAACTGTATTAACTGCCCCAAGTGTTCACTTTATTACTACAGTTCCTGGTATTTCAATGATATCATCCATTTTACTATTAGTACTCTCTGCAAAGCTTCTCTTCTATAGAATAACCTACACTTCTCCGTAGAAAAGCCATGCGAGCTATTGTGCGTTTGAAAACTTAGCAAGAGTAGGACTATTCTATCACATGCGAGCTATTGTGCGTTTGAAAACTTAGCAAGAGTAGGACTATTCTATCACGTGACGAGTAACCCTACCCACAGTTTTCAGGAGGATCTACATTCTATATGTGACATTACTACATTGCCTAACCTTTGTATAGCACCTTACCAAGGACCAAAACACCCAACGGTCTTACCGGACTAGAGATATTGTAGTTACAATTACAGGTGGGCATGTAACCTCGCAACTGTCAATTTGTCTAATTCGCTGTATTTCCAGATAACCACTTAATTAATTAAAACATGTAAAGGATCAGATAAAAGAGGTTAACTTACGCGGTAGCAGTAGCGTATTGAGGGTGGATGAGGGACCCAGCTGTTAGGGGTCTCAGTCCAATTACTCCAGGTACAACTGAGGATAATTTAACTATGTGATATATTTTAACGGGTGATACTCGTAAAATGTTTGTTCCAAAGACCGTCGACGAGTCCAACTGGGCGCGCGTCTTGGTAGGTTATAAACCTACAAAGGGTAACATACCACTTTAGAAAGAAATAAACATATTTAGAGGAAAACATTTACCACTTTAGAAAGAAATATTTGTATTTCCTGATTTTGTGGTATTTTTGGAACCAAACTCGATAAAATCACACGTTTAGATACTAATATCTCCCACAAGCGATACGAAATTATCACTTTTAGGTTAATGCTATTAGCGTCTATTATAAATACTACTAATATCTCCCACAAGCGATACGACATTATCACTTTTAGGTTAATGCTATTAGCGTCTATTATAAATACTACTAATATCTCCCACAAGCGATACGACATTATCACTTTTAGGTTAATGCTATTAGCGTCTATTATAAAAGGATGGTCAGAAAATTGAGATCAGATGATACTAAACACTATGATCAGGATGGTATATCATATTGATCTGGCCGTGTTCCTGGCGGCTACTTGTAGTAAGCTAATCCTGTTCCTGGCGTCTGGTCACGAATTTGACCATCTTGGTAAATTTTGACAACACTTCTTGGCGATAGCCAAATGATAAAAAATTGTTCGAGCTTTTGTAAAAGAAGAGTCAATCTGAATGCTTTGATTTGACAATATCGGAGGAGTTACATGTAACCGATAAACTAGGTAATAAACTAGGTAATAAATTAGGTAATTATGATAATGGTAAAACCACCATGTTAGGTAATGTAGCTCATTAGTGAGACCCAATCACTCAGCTATAAGTCACACATGGCCACCACTTAACTTGATTAGCCCGAGGCGGAAATTTTAATTCAAATACATTGACCGCTTGCTTTAGATTCACCACAACGTAACATACAATTACATTACAGTGGTGTGTATTGGTGTCACGTGCAGCACAGCGTGACTTTATATTTCAAGGAAACATCAGGTGGGGCAATAATCAGTAGGCGGAAACATCAGGTACGGCAATAATCAGGTGGGGCAACAATCACGTGAAAATAAGCGTTGCTGGTTGGGATTCATGTACTTAAATTATTGATGTTGGGTGCAGCTTTTAAAGTTTCATTAGACCACTAATACCTCATAAGAAATCAAACCCAGACGTACCCAGGGGCCGGGGTAGTAGAAAATCGACTGATTATAAGTGTCGAAATAAATTATCTCTAGGGATTCTAATCTTTAAAATTATGATTATCTTATTCTTGATTGCTTTTCGGTTAGCTTATCTGACATCAATTGAACGTGCTCTGATTTGAGAATAAGGATCGTTCAAATAAAAGCAGATAAGGAGGCTCTGACTTCTGAGTTCAATATTAAAGTCTTTCAAATAAGGGAAGATTAGGCAATTCACAGGGAAGAGCAGAAGGAAGCTAAGGGGAAGCCTAGAGGAAGCTTGTGGGAACTAGAGGGAAGCCTAGAGGAAGTTTGTGGGGAACTAGAGGGAAGCCTAGAGGAAGCTTGTGGGAACTAGAGGGAAGCCTAGAGGAAGCTTGTGGGAACTAGGGGGAAGCCTAGAGGAAGTTTGTGGGAACTAAAGGGAAGCCTAGAGGAAGCTTGTGGGAACTAGGGGGAAGCCTAGAGGAAGTTTGTGGGAACTAGAGGGAAGCCTAGAGAAAGCTTGTGGGAACTAGAGGGAAGCCTAGATGAAGTTTGTGGGAACTAGAGGGAAGCCTAGAGGAAGTTTGTGGGAACTAGAGGGAAGCCTAGAGGAAGCTTGTGGGAACTAGGGGGAAGCCTAGAGGAAGTTTGTGGGAACTAGAGGGAAGCCTAGAGAAAGCTTGTGGGAACTAGAGGGAAGCCTAGATGAAGCTTGTGGGAACTAGAGGGAAGCCTAGATGAAGTTTGTGGGAACTAGAGGGAAGCCTAGATGAAGCTTGTGGGAACTAGGGGAAGCCTAGAGGAAGTTTGTGGGGAACTAGGGGAAGCCTATAGGAAGTTTGTGGGGAACTAGAGGGAAGCCTAGAGGAAGTTTGTGGGGAACTAGAGGGAAGCCTAGAGGAAGTTTGTGGGAACTAGAGGGAAGCCTAGAGGAAGCCTGTGGGGAACTAGAGGGAAGCCTAGAGGAAGCTTGTGGGAACTAGAGGGAAGCCTAGAGGAAGCTTGTGGGAACTAGAGGGAAGCCTAGAGGAAGTTTGTGGGAACTAGAGGGAAGCCTAGAGAAAGCTTGTGGGAACTAGAGGGAAGCCAGATTAAAATTAGGTACTTACTCTTCGGTCGTGGCTTTGCTCCCAGATAGGCTAAATTAACATTAGCTTTCCTTCCGTCGATAATGGGTGTGGGGTTGGCCACCGCCTTGCTGGCAGCATCCGCGTCCTGCATCGTCACCTGGACCGATTAAACAATTACTTTAATGACTTAATTACATAATTACATAATGACATAATTGCATAATTACTTGATTGCTTAAATACTTAATTAGTTAAGCGCTTAATCGTGAGGTCATGAGGTTCAGGTACTGGGCTATGATCGATAAACCAGTAAAATCAGCAGATATGTGAATATCTTTTAAGAGGAAATTCAACTCCAAAATTAAAGTTAATCGTAAAATGTTCGCTCAAAAAAGTAAAATCGTCTAGAAATTTGAATTAATTTACAGTCATCTTAACTGACCGAGTAAAATTTTCAATAAAGAAGGAAAATTGCTAGATAACTTACAAATCCGTATCCTTTGCTTTTGCCGGTAGCTCGGTCATGAATCACAACAGCTTCCTCGATATCACCGAATGTATTAAAGAATTCCCGAAGTGATTGGTCGGACGTGTGGTAGGGAAGACCTCCCACAAATACCTGAAAGATAATTTATCAGTAAGGATACTAAAAAATTACTAAATATTAACTAAGTATTTACTGAATATTAACTAAATAGTCATTATTGAGATAATAAAGTTGTACAACTGAAGTTTTTGAGGAACTAATGCAAGGAACTTTTTCATATTATGATTTAAAGAGTGTTTTAAATGTTGAGATTAAATTTTCTATGATTTGTATGAAATTTGTTGGCATACTAAAGACTGGAATAACTTTGACTTAAATGCGATCAAGATTGGATGGGAGCGATTTACCTGAAAATATTATTTATTTTTGCGGTAATTCATTGAAAACGAGCTTCAAGTGGCTAATTTTGTGACCAACTTCAGAAAAAGATATTTGATTTATTCGTGACTGATGGTAGATAGAGTGAGATTGTTTTTGAATTTAAGATAAACGTTTGAAATATAAAAGCAGTGGCCATTTTATTGGAGGTTATTCAAAATATCATATCACCTCTGACTTAGGTGAACAATAAATAGCGTTACCGCTCAAACAAGACTAACATAGGTAAACCCAAGTTTTTTAAAGGTTTTTCTAAATATTTTGTATTGATCAAAGATCAACTGTTACATCAATAAGTTGTAATTTTAAATGATGCAAGCATGTCTTGCGTGTTCAACGTATTTAATAAAAGTATTAGTGACCGCGATTAAAAACAAGTTAACTTACCTTCCGATAGGTGGTGTCAAGAGAAGATACGTTGGTCGACATGGGACTCATTCGGACAAAAAGCAAGCGAATAGGCTGTGACTTAAACTCAACCACTAAATTAAAATAGAATCGAGGTTAAATGAGAGAGATAGCGGCAAAGATAAGCGATAACAGTATTTTAATAGCGAGATAACGGATATAAACTTAACACGCAATTAATGGCCCCGTCCCTGCGTATATATAATATTAAAATAAAGTCACAGATTTCAGGAAAATATCACGGCCCACTACTAGCTGGGTGTATAATAGTGCGAGGTACAACACACACCAACCGTGTTCTAATTAACTCGACCTAAACTTTACTTCCGCGAAACACCTCTTCCTCCTGCTCAAGTGCAGAATGTAACCGAGTAGAAAATACAGTAGCCTCCTCGTCACGACAATTAGCCAATAGGAGAGCAGTCAACCCGCCAACCAGCGCCCTGTACGCAGCTAACGCTCACAATCCAGCCAATCAGGCCTGGACACGTGAGCAGCGCGCGCCATGTGACTAACACGTGTGGGTGGGTTAAATGCAGGGGAGGAGGAGAGTATGGGATAATAGCGGGCCACGTGATCAGGCATCCTCACACTGCCCACCGGACCGCACTGTTCTTAAACAAGAGCTCCAATTAACGGAACAAAAGGAAGCAGTCACCTGCTAGATCTACTAGTAGTAGTTGCTATAGCAACACAATAATCTTATTATTAGCCGTCAGAATCAGAGCTTTTATTTGGGTATCCCGTATCTACCCGCACATTGTGCACTTTCATCAGGGCACACCTTCATCACGCGCCCGGGGATAGAAAAGATTATAATTGTTGGTCTAGACGCAGGGAACAGACGAAATTCTTTAAACAAGTTTAGATTTACCAAGTTAATTTTATACGTACCAACTACCAAGTTTATAGTTACCAAAGTGTGTTTAATTAATCATGACTCATTTTAAGAAAATGTCTTGACTTCATCAACATTTATATTTACGCACAGTGCACACTTACATAACCAAAAGTGTTGGTATTTTTCTTACCCTAAATTGGAACTGAAAGTTGGCATTTGAGATGCTAACTTGGAGGCTGAGTTAATATTATTCGATCTTTGCTTGCTTTCAACATTCGCGGTGCTTTATTCTTGACACCACACACGAAAGTTACATTCCAATCGATCTCACCACCTTTAAGAAAATCTGCCCGATGATTCAAGAAAGATGGTATAAAGTTTCAACTGAAAGTAAGAATTGAAGCACAGAATAAATATTCATGATGACAATGTTGGCCCCTGTACAGTGTACAATTGAGATCACCTTGGCCCCGCGGTCTTGTTGGATACAAAAATGCCCGTTAAATCCATCCCAAAAAAATAATACCCATATTTGTCCCAGCCCCACCCGAAATCTCAAATTCAGTACTGCTCAAAGTTTAACAGTCAAATATTAACAAATGGCTGGAAAGTGGAAAGTGCGGGTGTAAGAAAGTTGGAGATAGTGTCTGGATCAGCTGCTCGGATCAGGTCGGGGTGGGTGCTCTGACAAGTTGGGGATAATGAGGCAGAGTTTGAGCTGATCACTCATTACCTGCCGATAATTAGTCTATTTAAATAATCACCCAAACGTGTTTCCTTATCGCTAGTCCAGGATGATCCGCATCCAGCAATTAGGATGTCCAGTAACCAGGGAAACCGGTCACCAGGGGAACCGGTCACCAGGACAACTAGTAACCATAATAACTAGATAACATCACGTTCAGTAACCCAGAAAAATGACATGGAAACCTTGTTAAACCCTGGTCATTAGAAACACCCCTAAAAGTCCTAATGACCAGCGTCTACTAGAATAGATTAGTAATATAATTTTGGTGTTAAGTAATTTTTAAAATGTTTAGTAAATTTTGTTTTCGTAACTATATTTATTCAGGACTCTACAGAAGGAATTTATTTAATGTAGTTGGAGGAGTCATAACTCTTCTCACGTCCGAAAATGGTGTTTCTCTTGTATCAAATATAAGAAGTAAAATGAAATTAGAATAATCCTTAATAAACAAAGTGCTAACAATTTCAGTAGTCTGACAACGTGATAAATCGCTAGAATTCACTGTGTACTCGAAAAATCAATTTTAAATTTCGAAGACTTTCAGTCTTGTACGGAAAAGAAAGTGTGCTTAGGTGGTAAGACATTACGCGTCACGCCAGTTTTTCTGTTAAAATAGCAGCGAAATAACTGTCCTGACCTCAGCGTAGATTTAAAGTAGCACTGAACTCATTTTTGACTCTTCACCCTTGGTGTAGGCACTCTCGTGGCACTCTCGTGGCACTGCTGCACTGTGGCACTGTCGTGGCATTTTGACCGCGCGTAGAGTATAATGGGTACGATAATAATATTATTCAAACAACCAACCTTGTTCTGGTGTACACTATTCTCTGTGCTTTAGTCTGCGCTTTAGTCTGTACAGTGGACTGCTATCTATTCTGTACCGTTTCCTGCTGCACCATTCAACTGTTCAGCGGCCAATGAATCATGAGTTCACTGTGGATGACAAAACACATGATTAACATACTGAAAGTCAAATCTCCGGAGAAAGCCTTGAAAAATATAAAATCACCAAAATTGGTAACCCATTCCGTAATTTCACAGTTCTAACCTAAGTTTTCTCCACCGACCAATTTGAATTAATTAGTTAATAATGGCATAAGAAACAGTTAAGGTGGCTGCCCGACTTTGGGGCCGGATCAGTTTGGTTCCCAAAAGTCGGCCAACGGTCAAGGTGCTGGAAATTAGGTTCCCGGAGAAATCACCAGAATGTTCTACCGGTAGTAGTGTAGTACATTTTTCAAATGTGAACTTTCCTGAATCGACATTTTCACAGTTTGTCAAAATTTATTGAAGTACTGGAAGCTAGAATTACGGAAATGCACTGACAAATAAAAGATATCCAGTTCCAAATATGACCTTTGTTGGACCAAAATTTCGTCGTGTTGACGAAATATTTGGTAAAGCAAAACTCTTTGAACTGAATCATTATTTTTATATATTTATAATTTTACATCACAAGAAGTATTTTCTTTCCAATTATACTTAATCATTTAGCTGTTCAGTTTAAAGATTATTCTTAACATTTTCATTATATATTTGATGTCTTACATTTAATTTTAACTAGCTATTATTATTTGATTTAGTAACTGTTTGAATTCTGAAAATTTAACGATAAGGATAATTAAGACTTGAAATTAAACAGTAAAAACCATGTTAACAATATCTAACACATGTGTTCATGTCTGCACACTCCGTCGCTGCACCTCACTGTTCCACGGGGGCAATCCCCTCCTCCACAGTGGCCGCATGTCTTAGCACAGTACTTCTTCATGTAGTCCACCCAGCCGTTACTCTGGCACTTGCCCTTAAACTTGGCACAGTCAGAGTTTATATCCTTACAGTTGGGGTCGGGGTTGGGATTGGGGTCAGGTTTGTTTCCATCATCATCAGGAGGAGAGTAGTTGACGGCGCTATCAGATCCTGAGTCACTTCCTCCAGTGCTCGCCAGTCTGGGATAGCTGGAATACTTGAAGAGCTGACAATTGTGGTGGCCTCTAGCGAACCTCACGAAACCCTTATCTCCCCAGTCGGCGCCCCAAGAGTTCTTGACCAGTACGTATTTAGGAGCGTACCCCACCATGGTAACGGCGTGGTTGGCGTGTCCGCGACATGTCGTGTCTCTCAATATCTCGTGATCGTACTGGAAAGTCCTGTCCGTCACCTGGAAGGCTACTCCGATAGAAGCAAACTGCAGTACATCAATGTGGGCAGCCTCTGACTGGCTGACTTTAACTGCTCCTGTCATCTTGTATGCCTTCATAGCGTTAGGTTTCTGTTTGTAGTAGCACCGTCCATCCTTCTCATTGTAAGGGTAGTCTTTGGTAGCAGCCAGTCTTCCTCCGTACTGTGCGCTCCACTGGTAGCATCTATCAACCCAGCCTCCATCACATCCGTCATCCTTTCCCTCAAACACACAGTCGAGGTACTCCTGCTCTGCGAAGTTCCTCAGAACTCCAGACTTCACTGCGTAGGTTGTCTCCAGACCTCCCACTGCTCCGAAGGTCCAACAAGATCCGCAGCTTCCTTGGTTCTTGACAGGGGTGACCATGCCTTTGTCAGTCCAGAGAAGTTTAGAAGGGTTCCCCACCCCACTCCTCAGCACGGTGTCTTCAGGTCCGGGTGTCATGGAGGTGATGTTGAGTCCCAAATATCTCTGTTTCTCTCCGGGGGTCATTGCGGAGAACTTGTTGAGAGCATATCCAGCGCTGTCCTCAGTGTCCTCGTTGTAGTCGGCAACATGCTCAGCATTAGCTCTGAACAGTCTAAATCTCATCACATCCTCTCCAGTGCTAAACTTCAGGTGGTTCTTAGCCTTGAACTGAGAGTACAGGTTCAGAGTAGCTCTGGGAGACTTCAGGACCTCTCTGAGAGGGTCATCAGCTAGGGTAACAGCCAGCAAACAAACTAGAATTATCTTCATCTTGGTAGAGTGATGACTGAGGAGGAGGGGGCTGGTTTTTATAAATGCCTAGAGGGGCGGCAGGTGAATCAGAACAACCAGAGCCGCACCCCCACATAGTCATACGTCAGCATATTGAATTGAGCGTGTCTTTTGTTCGACAATTTTCTTTTATAAATAATAAAATCATTTAACTTTTCTAGCGAGGCCTGCTAGTGATGAAAATAGCTAATATCTCCTACCGACACCATAGCAGATGTGACCATCCCAGAAACTGTGTTAATTCAATTTCGTTTAAAACTAACTCTGAATCTGAAAATTCTAACATAAAACTTAGTTTTTGAACCGAGTTAGCACCTCGAATTTAAGCAAATGAAATTAATCTAAGGATGATAGGAGGTTATTTCAACGCAATCAGGTGATTCAAAAAATGAAATCTATGAAATCTATGAAACCTATGAAATCTATGAAATCTATGAAATCTATGAAATCTATGAAATCAATGAAATCAATGAAATCTATGAAATCTATGAAATCTATGAAATCTATGAAATCTATGAAATCTATGAAATCTATGAAATCAATGAAATCAATGAAATCTATGAAATCTATGAAATCTATGAAATCTATGAAATCTATGAAATCTATGAAATCTATGAAATCTATGAAATCTATGAAATCTATGAAATCTATGAAATCTACGAAATCTACGAAATCTATGAAATCTATGAAATCTATGAAATCTATGAAATCTATGAAATCTATAAAATTTATGAAATCTATGAAATCTATGAAATCTATGAAATCTATGAAATCTATGAAATCTATGAAATCTATGAAATCAATGAAATCAATGAAATCTATGAAA